ACCTGTAAAAAACTGAGTTTTTTTTGCGTGACTTCCAGCATTTTTGGGATATCTCGAGAAGGAAAGCATATTTTTTGAAAAGAAAAAAAAACGAACCTGAGATAGGGCCTAAAGTATCTGTGGTAAAAATTTGAGCTCGATCGGACCATTTTTTCGAGGGGTCGTAATGTGACTGGATGAAAGCCAGAGTTTTCTAGAAAACCCATAGAAGAACACGCCAGAAAATTCTGGGCAAACATACATCGATTTTCTTTTTCGATGTTCTATCTCTGCTATAAATTTGAGCTCAATCGGACATGTACTCCGCATTTGGCAACAAGGTGAAAAAAGAGGGTGGGGGGGTACCCTTAAGAAGACTGAGAATGCACAACATTAGGCCAAACCTGAACAAGCGCTATACACGAACAAAGAGAACAAAAAACAGACAAATATTTGACATCATAATGGCGTCATGTTAAAAAACAATGCTTAATATAATGTTTAAAGACAATGTATTTATTCTGTTTTGCTGTTGATTATTAAAGATGGTGGATTGATGATTTAAAAAAAGATTGTTCTTTCTTAATTAAAGTCGGACATAAATAAAAGAAATTCGGAGCACTTTTTTATTTCCGGGCAAAAAGTGTGAAAACATTTAAATATGCCTGGTTCGGACACAAATCAAGCTAACCCGGCACAAAAATGCTCAATTCCGGGCACAAAAAATAATTTTCTCAGCTCTGTTACTATAAATTTCTGTTTCCTTATTTTATTTAGTTGTATATTAATAAATTAAACTTTCTTCTATATTCTTTTCTTTGTCTGTCTACTCATTAATTGCTATATATTCCTCTTACATATATTTTGTTTAATTGATTTGATTATCAAAAGTGTTATTTTTTGGATGATCATTTCGATAGAAAGAAATTTGGTGATCAAAAAAATACATACCCTAATCAAAAAGATAAAGAGAGGTACTAGAATGTGTAAGTGTCTCGAAGTGTATAAAGATAATACACTTTCAGTCTATGACGCGTGGCAATGAATGGTTATCGAAATTCAACTTTCGCACATAATTCTTTTTTAAGTATTGAGTGAGATTTTATGTTAGAAGTAGTGTTTGATAGCACAGCACAAAGATTATGACAATAGTATTTCGTTAAATATTTATTTAATAATAAAAATCTTATTTGTTACAGCAAAGAAAAAAAACCTAACAAGAGTTCATTCTGTACAATTGGACATTGATCACTTATTGTTCTCTTTTTAATTTTCGTCTTCTTCATCATCTTCTTTTTCATCACTATTTTCCGTTTCTTCACCATCTGGTTTGAAACTCTCGGCTAGATGTGGTGTGCCATTGCCATCTGGTAATTCGATATGATCAGTAGCAACAACTGGTTTGCGTTTACCTAATGGACTTTTTGGCAAGATTCTGATGCCGGTCGGCGATGATGCAGGTGTTTCTTCTACCAGATAAAGATTTTTAATAATCAGCGGAGCGTGAGGAGTTACTTTTGTCGTTTTTTCAGTGGACGATGGACGTGTTGCTGCTGTTGAGACATTAACGAGTAACTCCATACTGGTATTATCTAGCGAGGCTAGAATGAGAGAAAATTCAGGTGAATAATTGTAATGAATACGAGAACTTACGTGATTCCATCGGCTTAACATTGACCTTTGATACTACGTACGATTGAACGAAAACGACAGAGACAATAAATATAAATATCCTAAATTACAAAACATGTTCACAAATCAATTTCAATGTATGAATTAAGTGTTTTAGTATGGTGATATAGTTCTGTTTTTAATCTGCTAAATGTTAATGTAAAGAGAGAATAATGTAAATGACGTTTATTTTTTCAAGTCGTATGTCAGTTTTCAACTCTAGACCTCATATATTCTTGAGCAGTTTTATTGAGCTTCGATAATTTCCAGTTAAATTCATTAAAAAAATTCATCAGCACGTGTACATTTTCATAAGAATTTAATGTGAGAAAACCGTGAAATTTTGTGAATAGTAGACATCTGTATTGGACACAAGATCTTCAGGTGTTCATTACAAGAGAGTTAGAACATATTTTGAACTTTCTTTAAAAAATATAAAACAGAAATCTTCCTGATCGTATATTCTCATCTTCATTTTGCTGAATTTCAATTGCAGATCAAACGTGATAGAAAAAATTGAAACACTTACTTGATCATTTCTGATATTAAGATTGACGTTGTTGTTTAAACACACAGTGGCAAAAAAATAAAAATGAATGATTAAAATTCAATCGTTCAACTTGTCTATTTATACTTGCGTTCTATCATATGATATGTACCAGAGTGCGTATTATGTTCATGGAACAGTTTGAGTAAATAGAGATAACTCACCGTTATCTTATCAGTTCGATGTGTGTGTGTGTGTATGTATATCGACACATTTCTTTTTTAATGAAGTCAAGAGTAACGTGCAATGGATGATAGTATATAGGGGAATAATAAATACATTGACCTTAACATTTTATTCAAAAGATAAGATCAGCTATCATCGACTCGTCTCATATGCGACATCATAAATAATTCATATCAATGAGCAAGCAAACATATAGATGATGATAATACAGTTAAATTTTACTTGCCGCATGAAACTACATCTCGGTATTAAAACTTAAGTTCATGGCAGTACTTTGAAGGTAGTTATAGAGGAATTTGCAAGGATTTATATTGCAGAAGAATCATTACTCAGCTTATATAAGCCGATCTTGTATCACTTATATGACGAGGACAATTATCTGATGAAATCGGTTTATGCCTAGATTTCATCGACTAGATTTCAAAGACTAGATGTAGAATGAAGAGAAGAATATTTCTAGGTACTTACTAGACCTTACAATCAATCTCAGAAAAAAATTGATCGAATTAAATTCGATTAAATTTCTACTCCATCTGATATATATTATAGATCGTATTTTTGGATCTTTCTCTCTCAGTTTCACAATTTCTCGCAACTATTATATATCATTCGAAAGCTCTTTTTCTTTGCTATATTTATGCATATCACATATAATGGGAATAGTCGTTCTGAGATCAAATATATTTAGAAGTACTTCTGTCTATAGAAAATGATCTCTTACGTGCAAAAAAGTCTCAGATATTCTATGTCAACATTTCTCATCAGGTCACTAAAATAAATATACCATCCGATAGAAAATTTCTCGAGGTACCATTTGATGTATATCATATAGGGAAAAAAAGTGTCCTAGGGTACCTTGACATTAGAAATGTTTCTACAAAGCGGTGACCAGCGGGTGACTTTTCGTGGAGATATAAACGTCACTGCAAATGCCCCGAAAAACGCAAGCCTGCGTCCAATATGTGTTTCTCTCACTATGCGTTTTTTCGATAATGTGATTTAATCAAGCTGAAATTTTTAGTACCGATACTTCAAGTCCACTATTCTAGGTTCGTTTTCTTTTAAGCGTTTTCGATGTCAACTTTCGTTAAAGGTCTTTAAAATAAAAAATGAGTTTTTTATAAAGCATATTTTGAATCAACAAAGAATATTTTTCGAAAAGAAAAAGAACGAACGTGAGATAGAGTCTAAAGTATCTAAGGTAAAATTTTTACCTCAATTGGGCCATTTTTTTGATGGGTCGTAATGCGATCTGATGGAAACTAGAGTTTTCCAGAAACTCAAGGAAGAACATGTCAGAAAATTCTGGGCAAAAATATTTCGATTTTCCTTTTCGATGTCCAGTCTTTGGTATAAATTCCACCCCGATCAAACATTGGCTTCCCGGTTTTCAAGAGGATCAAAAAAGAGGAGATGGATACCCTTAAAGCGTGTTTCATTACTCATCATAATCGTGACTTTTGAGAACGTTATGAGGTATTTCCAAATGGTATATTTATTGTAGTGACCTGATGAGAAATGTTGACATAGAATATCTGAGACTTTTTGCACGTTAGAGATCATTTTCTATAGACAGAAGTACTTCTAAGCATACTTGACCTCAGAACGACTATTCCCATTATATGTAATATGCATAAATATAGCAAAGAAAAAGAGCTTTCGAATGATATATAATAGTTGCGAGAAATTGTGAAACTGAGAGAGAAAGATCCAAAAATACGATCTATAATATATATCAGATGGAGTAGAAACTTAATCGAATTTAATTCAATCAATTTTTTTCTGAGTGTGATTTTAACAAGGGGGGAAAGGCGCCTTTTTTCTTTCTTAGCGTCGGAGAGCATCGTATCAGCATCGGAAAACATCGGAGAGCATCTGATATCGAGCATCTCAAGCATCGGGAAGTATTTTTGACGGAAAGCTCCCGGAGCTGCCGTTTCCCCCTTGGGTTGTAAGGTCTATTAAGTACCTAGAATTATTCCTCTCTTCACTCTATATCTAGTCATTGATTAGTTGATGAAATCCAAGCATGGGCCGATTTCATCGGATAATTGCCCCTGTCTTTCGTTCATCATTCGTGTACCTTTCTGAGTTCTGATCACAGGAATGGCATTGAAAAAACCCAGAAATGTGAAAGAAGTTTTTTTCGGATAATAAAAATTATTTCAACTGTCTTAACGACGTTGTCTCTTTGATGGAATAACATGTCGTTCAAAATATAGAAATGATTTGGATTTCTCCCTAAGAAAAATGAAACTAAAGAATTTAAGCAACTTTTTCAAAGATTTTGCTAGAGATCAACGCTGTTAAATACCGTTTTCATATGATTAATAACGAACAAAGAATGACTAAATGTGTTAAAGAAGGTGTTGAACCATCGATATTAGTAGTAGGAATACCTATCGTTGAAAAAACTATCGAATCTAACAAGGTAAACATAACAGAGAAAAAACGATCAATGAGCTGTCTGCGAAAGGGATATACGAAGACATTGTACTTTTGGTGTAATGGAAGATAATAGTGCAGATATGCTAAGGAATAATTAAAGATATAGTGTCAACTTACTATCAGATTCTCAAGAAAACAGTATCTCGTGCGTTACTATCCTTCTTTCGATGCTAACTGCTAAGTTACTAATCACAATTTATAAGGTTAATAGCTACCTTCGTCGATGATCGATTAAATCAAAAGTTTTTGATCTTTATTTCGTTCGTTAATAAAACTGTTATTGGTTTTAATACAACAGAAATAGAAGTCAATTTCTGAATGAAAATTCCAGCTTCGATGAGATAAACTCGTGTGCAATAAAAAACCTGGTTTTCTCGAAAACTGTCACCAGAAACCAACTTTAAAGGTTCAATTAAAAATTGTGCCTATGCTGTTTTATGACAAACTAACTCTGATGAAAGCTTCAACTGTCTGCGATTTATCCTTACAATTCCGTAACAAAGCGAGAAATAAGACCAGCGGATAATTTCTCAGTTATGACTTAAACTTTTCTGATTTATGAATTTTTACTATATATATGGCGGGTGATCCAGAAAAAAATCGGACACTGTTCATCTATTTTTTTATGACACTTAAAGAAAGTGTACAAGTTTTCGAGAAGTCCTTCATACGAGCAACGTACAAACTATGGAATAAAATTCTGCTTGAAGTGTGGATGATTGCCTGATTCAGTCAGTTCAATGCATGCCTCCTTCAACAGAAGCAAAACAAATTCTTACTAACGGGGGAACCTCTCTAGGTGTCCAATTTCGTTTCAGCTCATATTTTCCCGATCGATAGGGCACATGAGTGCAACAAAAAGTCTAAAAGGATTTGGACTGTTGCGGTTTCCTTTTCGAGTTACGGTTGATTTAGTGAGATTTGAGCTGTGGGTATTTTTACTGTAACGCACTATTCCAATGGGTTAAACAGCTGAAACTCGCAGCAATATTAGTTGTAGGCAAAGCCAGTATGCTGCAAAAGTGTTCAGTCTTAGTCTTCTGCCTTTCATCAGAAATCGAATTTTCTGTTTTTCATAGAATATCTACACTGCCTTATGAACTGTACATGAGATAATGTTCTTTTCGTTATCAAGTTTCGTTTGACACTCATAAGTTGACAAAAGCCTTTATTATCTCTACTGGACTGCTTTAAGGGTTCCCCCCCTCAGAAATGGTGATTTTCGGTCAAAAAATCGGTTTTGAGATACGCATATGGATTGATAGCTTGAAGTGTCTACTTCCAGAATCTGTATTGCTTTTGGTTATAGAACTGGTTTTTCGGGGATTCTTAGCAAGTTTTCTAAGAGCCACGAAAAAACGGATCTTCAAATAAGGTTTTTTCCTGAACACTTATGCAATTAAAATTTTTCTGAGAACACAGCTTTGTAGAACAAACGTTTCTGATCAAAATAAGACGGCGCACAACTCTGTATGACCTTGCGTCAAAAAGTTGCAGGCATTTCCCTAGAAGTCCTAAAATCGAGTATTCATACAGCGTTTTCACTATATAAGAGTTACACCTGAAGTGCGTCCCAAGATTTTTAATAGCGGTTTGTCGTAGAGAGTTCATTCTTTTTTTGTTTTAAAGAGGAAAAGAAACTATATGGACTGACCGGCGTCGATTTTTGAATTAGATCTTAGTCTTTTGTCATACTGAGGATTTTTAGAAAACCTGGAAGGCTTTTTCGGATTTTGCAGGTTGTTGGTTGCCTGGAAAATCAATAAAGGCTTAATTAAAAGATCGGCGCCGGTCAGTCGATGTAGTTAGGTGTCTAGTTTAAAATAAAATAAACCCGAACTCTCCAGCTTGAAGTATATTAAAAAATCTTGGGACGCTGTTCAGGGTCCTTTTTGGACCTTGATGTCTGGAAAACTCCTAAACCGTAAGACTTGGAGACAAAAAAAGTTTTTCATTTCCATAACTCATTGTGCCGAACATTTATGGAAAGTTGTTTTCGAAAACAAAACGTTGCCGAAAAGTTAGCGTGATTTTTCTTGACTTTTGGGAACACGTATTGTTTTCCTCAGCAACCAGAACAAAAATGTATAATCGGACTCTTTTATACTCTGGAAAGTAGTGTGAGCCACATTTCAAGATCAATTCGAGATTTTTATCGCGTAAAATGGGGAAGAAATCTTGTAATTACGCAATGCTACGACGACAAAATTCGATTTAGATGAAACGAAGAAGAAAAGAAAAGCACAGCTTTTGGTGCTACTAGAAAAATACTTGTAGCTTTTGATTAAAATATTGCACAGAGCTCAGCAACGTCTCATTTTGAAGAAAACACTTTTCTCTATACGAATAAGTGTTTGAAAAAATTCTGACTGGTCAACACACATGTGGATAATTTTTGAAAAGTGAATGATGATGAATTATGATCTCCAGTGGTCAATCTTAAAAAGTGCATAAAGAGCATAGAAAAGTCATAGAAAGCTGAGCGATGTCTCATTTTATTGAGGGCACTTAACTACACAACTACTCATTCCCATCGAACTTTAATCAAAATTACCACTGTCTGAAGAAAAGACAAGAATTCGGTAAATTTAAAATCGCATATATATTTTATTTTGGTACATGATAAACTTCTCGCCATTCTTTTTTCATCAGTTTCTTGAATTCATCATAGTCCATATCAGATTTTGGTTCAAATTTTTCTATTTTTTTTCCAGTATTATCAATAAAATCAAAAAATTCATAAATAAAATTTTAAACTCATTGGCAGCGATGTCACCCATCAGTGGGTCAGGGTACTTGATTATTATACAAAATTGAGCTTAGCAGATAAAATTAAGAAAATTCAATTTGCTACATTTCATGTTCTAGGCTCAATTTTGGAAAACATCTTCGTACTAAAAAACGGAAAAAACACATTTTTTAGCTAATTTTCAATTATTCAGCACAAAGGAATGCTTCTCAAGCTTGAGTTTGGAACATGAAATGTAGTAAATTCTGCCATTTTTTGAATAATTTGAGAATGGAAAAGGATAGCGGCTACTGGTTTTCATCATATGATAACCAAGACTTTCCAGAATTTTTTACTTAAAGTCATAGACACATTAGAAGACCCCCTCCTTGAGTGAGCGAAGCAGAAGACAGATTAGAAAACCCCCTAACAAAGGTTGACTTTTTGAGAATTTTTGCAAATTTTTAACTTTTCTGCACTTCTTTGAATACGTGTCTCTGTACCTGAAGCGCAATAATATTTTTTTTTCTCTGAGTGAAACAAAATATGGTTAAATACAGCAGCATTTAACTGCTTGCTTTATTGCTGAGGGTACCGAAAAATATGCTTCTCGAGGGGACACAATAGAAGATCCCCTAAAATTTGCGGACGCTACGACAGAATAGACGATCCAGGGTCTTCTAATGTGTCCACTCTTTTACAATCGCTACATACATACATGCATTTATTTTTTGGGGAGAATAGTTGGAGAAGGATTTTATTAGTTTTTCGTCTCGGAATTCAATGTTATACAGTACTGTATAATATTTCTAATGTATGCGTATGCGTCGACCTGTAGTTCTTCAGGTTACTACATATGTTTCAAAATGATGTTCCTAGACTGACTTATGAATTTTTTTCAGAAAGGACCTCATATTTCAAAAGTGGTTCTCGATCGTGAAAGAACTGTCTTTCAGCAAATCATTAGGAGCCAGCAAAGAAAATTTATAGTGGAGATAGAGGAAAGTTAGGGCTACATTTTAGTAATGAGAAAAAGTTTTCATCTCTCTTGAATCAAGTACAGCGTTTTATACAAAAAACTGAATTCTTCTATATCGTGAACCATCCGGCACAGAGGCTTAAGCTTGCTGAATGATCAGCATTCAGTGAGTGCATACTCTATGACTCTCCATATATGATTTTTAAGCTGGCACTATCACGAGCATCTATATGCAAAGTTTTCATACCTCTTTGTGGTTGTACTGCGTTCCCCTGTTTCAATGATGCAAGTTGCTGGTTTTCATAAATTTGAACAGCACTTTTAATTATTTTTCGTTCTTTTGCTATTTTACCTGTCTTCATTCGACTTAAAACTACTTTCAATTTTCCTTTTTCTATTCGAATTTGATTATCATAATCCCGATTTCGTTTAATAGATAATAAACGTATTTTCTCTTGGGTTTGGTTATTACCACTAACCAATTGTTTTAAAACACGTGATCGTTCATCATCAGATTTGATGGAAATTAGTTTTGACAATCCGGCTAGTTGATGTATAAAATAATTTTCGGATATGTCCATGTATGTATTTGCCATAGCATAGAGAATATGCGAACATTGATATAATGAAATAGCTTTTGTATTTAGTTGTCGTTTATGCACCGATTGCTCTTGTTTGCGTCTCCAACCATTTTTAGCGCTGTTAGCTGCTGTATTGAAGTATTCTACATTCATTCGTACTTCGACTTCCGCACGTGTTTGAATTTGACTAAAAAATGATACGAAGTAACTCCATTGTTCAGAGATTTGAGATAATAGTGAATGTGACTGATCAAGCAGATCGATTAATTGATTATAATCGATATGTTGAATATTAAGGCCTGCTATTTTCTGCATTAGATTATACATTTTTTCCTGATGTAAAATTACTGCTTCATACATTTTTTGTCGTTGCTTTTCAGCAAGTTCCAATAATTTTTGTTCTAAAAGTGCTTTCAATTTTTCATTCGTTAATTGATTGATATAAGTATCATCACCAATTGTAGTTGTCATCGCGTCACCCTCGCTATTTTTCAGTTGTTCAGCAACCAAGTATGGTTCGCATTCATGAATGATTGTAGCTAATTTTGTTCGCAACCCATGGATTTTATCTGTTTCTATGCTGGACGATTGATTGAGCGTTTTAATGAGATCTTCTATTGTTAAAATACTGGTCTTGATTAAAGATTGTAACATCTTTTTGTTTTTATCATCATCTGGCGTTCCTGTATCTTTAATCAAATCTTGTAAAATGGACAGGATATTCTTTCCATTTAAGAATTGCTTCAGTGTATCCTGTTCCGGTCGTCTGATATTTTTCTTTTTTCCGACAACATGATCTATTGTACCAACTATTTGGCTCAGATGCGATTGAACTGGTTTAATTATTGTAAATGCAAAACTTTCAGCTGCTTTCAAAACAATACCTGGAAGCGAAGTAGGAATCGACGATGTTGTGTTTATTGCCAAATATGACTGTAACGAATCAACAAGAATTTTAGTTGTTTGATCCATATGTTGCACCATTCGCATGCGTACTGCATTCCAACCTGTTGGCATTTCATTCATTGCTATTTTATATCTTTCTTCAGCTTTTTCTAAATTTACTTTTGTTTCGTTGTAACGTTGATAGACCATTGTTGTTATGTTTTGTAAATAGGATTTTTTTAACAATGCATCGTTTTTCTCTCTTATTATTTCATCACGCTTGTCTATGCTAACTTTTTCGGCAGCAACTGTACTTGAAATTACTTCGGATATTAGATATTGCGTTATTTCAAATTTATGATGTGTATCATTTGCCAATTTCATACATTCTTTTCCGATACTTTCAATAAAGTTCAATGATTGTGGTAATATGGTTTTTAACATGCGCGGAGTGCCAGTCGATATAATTTCCAATGCTGTTGTAACATGTTCAGGAATTTGTTTCATATACATTTGAATTTTATTCATTGATGAATGGGCAAACATGAATGCTTTATAACCGTCGTGAGAAATTTGCACAAGTGTAGCACGAAATGATGATGGATGTTTGATATACTGAAACCCACCTTTGGGTTCATTATCATCCAGACGAAAATCTAATTTACTACTAACAACCATCAATTGACCGAGTAAATTAATCGTACATGGACCTGCTAATATCAGATTTCTCCACTCTCTGTCTATTTTTGAACGTTGATCCAATTCTGTAATTTTTGAGAATGTCGGTAAACGGGTGACTGTATCCATATCTACAATATCAAAACACATCTGATTATAAGGAACAAAGTAAACGTAACAGATCATTTCATCTTTTATAATTTAGATAAATACAAATATACGTGAATGCTTTGTTTTTAATTTTCTTTAATTTGTGGCAACGAACTAAAAAGGCTGCACAGTCCCGAGTTCACGAAGGCTATTACTGTTTCCGGAGTCCGATCAACTCCGAAATTGACTTTGAGTTGTTCGGTGAATCAGAATTTCGCCACCTGAATTTCGACAATAAAAATTATATAGCTCCGATCATTGTATTTTTTATTTGTATCGTCGAAAGTCCATGTGCAATTTAGACATCAGTTGCAACTGTAATGAATCAGTTATATCTCAATTAATATGATATCGAATTATTGGATTATGAATAAGAAAAATTGTTTTCATTTTCATAACGAATTTATGTGTATATTTTTCATACATTTAATGTTTCCACATCTCCATAAATCACTACATGTATATAGAAAAAAACTGTATATACTGTCGAAATTCAGGCGGAAATTTTGCAGTAAAATACCATTGTAGCCAAGGGGGTTCGGATCGTACGCGACGAGATTTCGGTCGGACAGACGTGACTGTTACTACAAGTCAAAGGGAAGGGACGGTAAGATCAGTTTGCGTCCTCCAATATTTTCAAAAGTAAATCTCATATTCGAAATTTGCATTAAATTCTGAACAAAACTATTGACTCATATTTTTGAATTTCGAGCTGTCAAATCTTCGAAAAAGTTTTCACCCTTGGTCCTCTCAGGGAAATCGGAAAAAAAGATTCCTGGAACTTTTTTCAAAGTCTAATGTACTAGATAAAGTCGATAATGCTGATCACACATACCACAGTTAGACCAGTAAATAAAAATATTTTTAAGCTTTTGTCCCAACTAACTGTGTTGGATCAACAAAAACGTCCGCAGTTCAAGGTTCAGTCCTTTCGCCCCCTTTATTTATTATATTTATTTCTGATGCAGTCAGAGTTCTAGCAGCTCATTCGAATCATTTTTATGTAGATGATCTTAGCATATGATTTTCTGTGCCTTTGCTACATGTACCGTCATGCTATACGTATTTTGCGAAAGAGTGCACAGTAGACTCTTGATACTATTCACCGGTATTGTAAGAAGTGACTTCTCGAACTTACGAGGGAACCTCTCTAGGTTGCAGATCGTTTTCGGGCTAAAGCCTAGTGTGTCAGAGGTAATCAAGGGTGCTGTTTTCGAATATAACAATCATTTTGGCTGATAGATTTTCCAAGACTGGATTTCTGGAAAACCAGTTTTTCAAAATTCCTAAAACACAACCAAAACCTGTGTTAATGAGGTAGAATTGTAGCCCGCATATTTCTGATTAAAATGAGACCTCTCCGAGCTCTACATAATCTTTCTTTGGAAAGTTATAGAATTT